ACCGTCACCGTCGCCGCCGCCTATTTACTTTTCTTCCTCGCTGTCTACCCAAAACCACCTAACCTACCTTCCCAAAAAAACAAAAAACCACCGAACCACCCACCACGGCCTCCTCTCTTCTCTCTCTTTTTCCAGCACTTCTTTCCACCTCCACATCAAACACTTCTTTTTCTGGACCAAACACGCCTCCAAAAACTGCCAAAACCCCAACCCAATTTAAGAATTTTCGCTACCTATGCCACCGACGGCTGCAAAAAAGATGGCGGTTGAGACACCCACAACCTTTGGCTTGAAGAATTCGATGAAAACATTCACGGTAGATGAGATCGATCGGGATGAGAGAAGATTGGTTCGTTTGGAACTTCTATAAGTCTCTCTTGGGCTTCGGCAATAGAGACGACTAGGGAGTTTAGATTGGGCTATGGCAACTAGCAACGGCCACAGCAGTGATGCGATTCTGATGTCTACGACAACTAGGGTTATATATATATATGTGATGTCAACAATTGGGATCTTCATACTATATTATACAATATATATGTATGTTGTAGGCATCGCGGGTAGAGAAGAAGGAGAAGGCGTCACCAACGAGGATCTTGTATCGGAGGTCGAGGTGTCCTTGGAGGAGAATCATTTCTGTGTCAGGGCAATATATATTTGAATTGATTGCAATTGTATATATGTGTATGTGCTTATATATATAAGAGAAAAGAAATAGAGAGAGGAAGAGGTGGTGGTCATGGTGGTAAGAAGTGGTGAGTGTGGGTGTGGGCGGCAGTGGTATACTGGTAGACTTGGTAGTTGTTGCTTGAGAAAAATGAGAGAACATAGATAGAGGGGAAGAAAGGGAAAAGGGAAAAGGGAAAGGAGAGTGGAATGTTTTTTTGATCATGATGCACTCTTTGATCCATCCGATGCGCCTAGTGGGTGTAAGGGCTAAATTAGTCCATTACAGTAGCTACAAAGGTTAAATAGGTAATTTTATAATTTAAATAGTTTAATTTAAAAGTCAAAGGACAATAAAATCTTTTTAGCTTGTGTTAGACGGGGCTAGTGCGTCTTTGTTCATTTTATTGAGATGTTAACTTATATATTACTGTTATTATAATAAACTTCAAAAGGTATCAATGTAATTAATTGTAAAAGGAATTTAAAGTTGTATTGGACTTGTATATTATTTTCTTCCTAAAAGCAAGTGTTCCTTTTGAGAACCATGACAATTTAATTTACGAAAATGACGTTTTTTAAAAATAACATTTTTTATGTAATAAAAGAAGATTAATTAAAGTAAGGAAGTAAACAAATCTTTTGTGAGTAACGTAAGCAAACCACAATTGCAAGGTAAAAATAATAATAAATTTGTTTAGAAGTTTCACGATACAAAAACAATGAATTCAATTGAGATTTCGCACAACCTCTTAACTTAATTCAATTAATAAAGATATCAAGATAGGTTAATGTAACTCTCTGCCTTTCACTTAAAGCCAAAATTTCCACCCCTACCTATTTTCTCTCTCCTTCCTGCGTTGAGATAGGAATTGGAAGGATTTACGTTCCTATTATTCAATGGGACCCTCCACGCAGTGATCACTTTGACACTGACATGGCAATAATCTATTAATTTGTTGACTTTTTTTAACCACCTCTACTACCTATTAGCTTGAGGCCTCGATGAGCTTGGGTATACTGTCGTGTAATATTGCTCAGTCAAATCCGAGAATAATTTGAAGATCAGATCTCATTTTGTTTTCTCATTCCGTAAAACTTAAATGTGAATTAATTTTTCAAGTAGTTATCATCATCGTCATCATAAAATATTAAAATATTATCCCTCTACCTCCTGGTTTAATTTCTATTGCTACAGCCGAAGATGGTATCAAGGTGTGAGATCTTCTTGGAAATCCTGATGGCAATCTTGCTCCCTCCATTGGGAGTCTTCTTTAGACATGGTTTATGCAGCGTATGTCTTCTCTCTCTCTCTCTCTATATATATATTTCTATAAATATAATACAATTTTGTATCTAGATATACTTAATTGGAGACATAGACCTACATGTGAATGCATAAATTAATTTACATTTCTTTTTCTTTCTTATTGCAGTGTGAGTTCTTCATTTGCTTGATATTGACTCTATTAGGTTACATTCCTGGAATAGTCTATGCGGTCTATGCCATTGTGGTTCATCGTGATGCATTCCACGACGATGTGGTTCTCATTGCCTAGTTTTACTAGCATTAATTTTTTCTTTATTTATCATCTTCTTGGACAAGCTATATCTAAGCCAATAATTTTAGACTCTTTCATTACTTGTATGTTGTTGAACCAATTTTATGCATGTTTGGACTCGATCTTAATTTTAATTGATTGGTGCAAATTGTCTATTTATATTTGGATAATTTTAATTCATTGGTGCAAATTGTCCATTTATATTTCGAATTTAATTATGATTTTGCCTTTTAACTTTTTAAGCTTTTTATTTTGTTTTGTTTTCAAGATATCTGGTGTTTGTAATATGGAAATGTAAATTAATATATTGATAATTTATTAATTGCGTTTCCGATGTATATTACACCAAAAAGAGAGATCACTAATAGGTGATATATCTTGAAACTAGTGCAAGAATATGTATGTATATATATGGAAACTCCACTACGGATTTAAATAAGTTAAATACGAAAGGGCCCATAATTGTAGTTATTTAAAAGTTACGTGGAATTGAGTTCGTCACCCCTTTTATAGGATGCAATAATCATTAATTAGAGTTTGATTGATCTATCAAACTCTGATTAATGATATTATTATCCCTAAAAATAATATTTAATTATTTATAACAAGTTAACAATCATATAGAATTGAAATGTTAACCGATAAAACAACAGTCCATCTCTCTAAAGCCCCGCGGACTTTCAAATTGTAAATTTAGTTTTCGAGAACTAGATTGGCTGGGGTTGTAAATGAATTGGGTGGCCAATTTGTACTAGGACATAGGAATCATGTTATATGGATTGACAGTAATATGACATGATTATTACACCGTTAACAAAACACAGGACGGTATATATAAAATATTTAATAAATGAATTAAGATTTGACACGACACTAATTGACACGACAAAATATATTTAAGTTATTTTTTATACGAACATAACACGTTAGTTATACGAGTTACTTTTAACACAAACACAATGCGTTTACATAATACGTTTAGTTAAATAAATCATAAATGGATTGACGAGTCAAATATGAATATGACACATTTAGTTACGTTGCCAAAGTCAAGTTGATATAATTACGACGCGATCGCGATTCAGCCAAACCCAAACCTACTATTCCATGTCATGTTCAAGTTGTGTTAGCTTGTTAGTGTCAAATATTGCCACTCCTAAAACGAACTAAACTATTTATGAACAATTTGGATCTTATTTATTGAAAACTTAACTAGAGCTTGTTTGTTAAACAAACGAATCAAACTCGAGTTCAATTTATAGGCTCGTTTAGTAAACGAGCCAATTCTAAACAATGTTAGGCTCGACGTACACATGAACATAAACTCGTGAGGTTCCTATATGTTCGTGAACATAGACTTGTACAGGACTCACATAAACTCATGTAACATAGGTTTGTGTAAACTCGTTTCAGTTTATGAACGAGTCAGAATGATCTTGACCGCAAGTTCGAACGACTTTTGTTATTAAACGAGTCAAATCAGGCTTGAGCCCACAAATGAACAAGCCAAATCTGAACAAACTCAAACTCGTCTCCAGTCAATTCATTTGCAGCTCTAACTACTATACTATTGGTATAATGTTTATTTTTTATTTTTTATAGTTACAGTTGTAAATTGTCTTTCTTTTCTATGGTACTCTCCCGTACAGTCTCATCAAAATGACACATTATAATTTTTTACATAGAAGTTGTAAAACTTCATCACAACAACTGTAGAAGTTTAAACTCTGAGAGCAATGCAATGGAAATTTTTTGGGGTTTTTCCACTTGGACCATCAATCTTCTTATTATGAGAGTGTTGGGCGAGTGAGCCATGTCACGCCATTGGTATTCAATAAAAATTTATCACTCACTTAAATTTGTCTCTCTCAACAAGTTGTATGCAAGGTGCATCCAAAAAGGGGTGGGAGTTGAGATGGTTGGAATTTGTAGGTTATTTTTACTATTATACCATTAATTAGGATTAGGCTTCGGAGGTGCTAGAAGCCCGAATCCGAATTATAATGTTATATTATATGTATTTTTATTTTAGTCAAATTGTTCAAAGTTTAAGGTTAATTGTTTATATTTTAGTGTGTAGAAAATAGATGTGCACAAAGAATTGGTAGAATTGGTCGGAACCGAATCGAACTGATGCTTTGATTTCGATTTCAATTCTGGTTCCAAATCTGTAGAATCGTTGACTTTCGGATCGTTTTGGTTTGAGACCATTTGAAACTTAATCGAACCGAACCGGTTATATATTATATATAAATATATTATTTTTTAAATTATATTTCTAGTCAATTTCATCCGGATTTTGTTTATTTCTCAAGAACCCTTCATTTTCATATTGATGCAATGCGAAAACGAAGCATATGCTTGGAATGCAAATTTATTGGAATGTCTTAAATGCATTTTATTTTCTTAATTTTGGATAATTTTAAGTCATGGGTTGATTTAATTTTGACTCTTATTGTCAATAAATTTTCTCTTGGACTTTCTATATCTAGAACTTGATCATCCAGATTTTTTTTTATTAGTCTAGAAATCTACATTTTCATATTTCTTAAACTCTTTTGCAGCTATAATTAAAATGTTATCTGATTTTCAAATTTTATATAATGGGAACCATAGAACCGAATCAAATCTTTAGGATTCGGTTTGATTTATATTGACTAAAGTGAAAATAGGAAGAAAATAAAAATTTTAAAAAAGATTTAATATGAAAAATAAAATAAAAAATAAGGCCTTTCTATATCCTAATGGTGGCTGGGCTTTGCAACCGCCTAATAAGTCGCCTAGTAAAGTCAGTCACCAACAACACATCTTTATCTGGAGACGACCCTAGCCTTTACTTGACGGTCTGCCCTAACTTCATCTGTTTTCTTCTTCGTTAAGAATCTGAAATCAAAAGTGTGGTTCTCTGTCATTTGATATTCGACCCTCTCTCTCTCTCTCTTTCTCCTTCCTTTGAATATGGCCACGAGATTGGAGATCTGCTGCGAAATCCTATGCGCGATTTTGCTACCTCCTGTTGGTGTTTGCTTCAGACACGGTTGTTGCAGCGTAAGCTTCCATTCTCTCTCTCATTAGATATACATCTCTTTGTGTATATACATACATACACTGTATTTAAATTTGGTAATTATCTTTGCAGGTTGAGTTCTTCATATGCTTGCTGTTGACAATCCTAGGTTACATTCCGGGAATAATCTACGCTCTGTACGCGATCGTGTTTGTCGATCGCGATATGTACCGTGGCGATTACTATCACCAAGTTGCTTAGTATTCGTTTTCTCCACCATTTCCCTTTTGTGTGCTAATGCTTTAATCTCTGTTATAATGCTCAGATCTGTATTGAACCCATTCACTGAGTTTAAACTTAATTTTATTTAATAATTGAACGTCTTTGATTACTATCTTTCTGCATTGTTGCTTAGAATTTGAAAATTCTATAGATATTCCAGTACAATTATATGTGTATTCATACATATAGTTTGATTGTGGATATTTTTGTTCTGACTGATTTGAATAATTTATTAGTTTATGATGATATCAATACTTGAAATCACTCAAACTACTCAGTGGTTAAGTTAACAGCTGAAGCTAAGTTATCCTATGATCAGGTTGCTTAAGTCTATTTAAAGTTGTGGGGAAGTGGGGTTGATGTTATGTTTATCCTGTGATCTGGTTGCTTAAGTCTCTATTTCAGTTGTCAGGAAGTGGGGATGTTATGTTTTTTACTGTTTGATTTTTTAAAATTATAAAACTTAACCTAAGGAAGGCAATTAATTGTATAGAGCTAAATCAACTTAAGCTAAAGAGAACAAAAATATGGGATTCAGAAATTGAATTTTATTCTCCTATATTTTGACCAGCCAAATAGAGGGTAAGACGACCGTTCTGATAATTAGATATTGTGGTGGTGGGGGGAGGAGGAAGGAGTAAAGGTATGAAGCAATGAAAATTTAGTAACCCATAGAGAAACAATTGTATTGGAAATGTTTAAATGGAGCCTTTTTTTAATATATATATATATATTATTAAAAATAAATGTTGAAATTTATAATGTAGTGTTGATTTATAGGTCAAAGGTCAAAACTTAAGTTTGTACTTCTTTTGGATTCAAATCATATAGACCTTTTCTAATATGTTATCAAATTTGGATTCAGTTAGTATTATGTTGGATCTTTCAGATTCTATTTGAACTTAGATCTCCTTGTATACAATCGGATTATTGATAGCCCTAGTTGAAGTATATAGGTTTTGGGAAAATGTGTACTTTTTTGTTGGTCTTGAAGATTATAGGGATTGGAAATGCAAAGATTAAGCTCTTAACTCTCTTTGCTTACTTATAGTTGTCTTCCATTTTCTGTTGCCTAGCCCTTGCTGAACTTACATGCTTTGGTGGGTATATTTGGATTTATTTGATTGAGAAGTTAGGTTACTCATTTGAGGTTTGATTTCTCGTTTGGGATTGAGGTTGAGGTTGTTTAGGAGATATACAGGATTTTTATGTCATTTTATGCTTAATGGCATCCCAAACTTCTTCAACTTGTAGCCATAAGTAGCATATCCAGTCTATGTGAGTCCTTTTCAGGTTCCTTGGTGTTCTCAATTGTTTTCAATTAAAATTTTTTGCAATTTATGGAGTTCATATTATTTCCCTGGAGAAGTTTTTGATGCTCTGTTTGTTTTGCTGGGAAATGCACTTATGAAAGGTGAAAGGCGAAGATCTGTAATGTTTGAATATGCATATATCTTGCATTCAAACTCATTTATCACAGGACTACAGGAGAGACGAGTGACAAGATATTTAGTATGGTAGTTTCCTTCATTGTAGTTACTTTGTTAATTGTAATGTTTTTGAAATTAATTCTCCAAATCTTGTAAATTCCGCTTTTGGACTGGCCAATAGTCAAGACTGCACATGTTTCACACTTTATCATTGCTTTAAGGTCCAAGAGCATCACTAGACTTGATAATGCAGTATCATATGACAGGGTGTCTCCACTATATATATAGGCACCTGGGTTTTGCCCCTAACTTCAATTATTCAATTATATGAACCTTGTATGAGTTGGCTCAAATTTCAAATATTGCTAAGGAACAAATTATAACAAAAAAATTTGAACTTTGGTGTACAGTTCAAGTACCTATAGGGACATGAAATGATGGAGTTTATTGGTAGTAGGGCTACCCTTGTTGTGTAGCTATGCTGTTGGGCCAAAGAAAAAAGAAATGACACAGAACTTAGGCTCCAGAATTCCATTTGGTATGAGGTATAAAAAAGAGGGGTGAAAAGGATTCAGCTGGGCCAAAGGGAAAATCATTCCCTCTTGTCTTCCTTTCTTTTCGTTTTCCTTCTTATGAGATATAGAACCTCCGATCTTCACGGCCCTTTCCTTCTCCCTCTCTTCCCTCCTATCTAAAGAAAATTAGGGCAAGACCTCAAAAATTGCAGTTAATTTTACAGTAAGCTAAAACTGTATACCAATATCCTTCAACCCATTCTTTTCAATTCCCAAAATCTAATTAAATCATGTAAACAGACCTGGCAGATCATCCTGCATGTAAATTTTTAGTTCTAAAACGGATCTTTTGTTTATCAATAGGAAACAGAAAAGGATTTGTTGTTTGATCTGATTTGATGAGGACCTGCAGTTTTTCACAATGGGACTAGTCTTTAAAGAGAGGCACAGCACATGTGATCAGTCAGATCACCTAGTGATGGGGCATTGCTCTCTGGGAGATGTCTCTTCAGCAGAGAGTATATGATTATACCTTGGTTAGACTTGGGAATGCTGTCCAGAGAGGCCACTTTGTTAATTTGTAACGATGACTAGCAATGTTTAAGTAAGGAGCTGTGTAAGTCTAGAAGAAAGTAGTAGTAGTTGGGGGATTTAAGGTTTTGTTATGGTCGATGATGATGAATGCATGTATATATTTAGGGAATAATATACATGACATTTCAACAATTAGTATCCAGAAGATGATTCTACTGACTTGTTCATACGAATCTTGTTTACATGGTCAGAATGTGTGATCATAATTCTAAATGACTTGTATTATCCAACCTGAAATTGAGTTTGAATGTTCAAGTTCTCTGCCTTGTAAAAATGAATGCTCTGGCTATGGGTTTTATCTTTTTATTATGCCTTAGAGGCTGTGCCTAGTTTTTTATTCCTCTGTGGTGCCAGGGGTCCTAAACTAACCACCCTCAATGAAGTGATAGTGTAGCTTTGCTGCTATGTTTTTTCTTCAATGTTATCTTTTTAGGGTTTCATTGCTAATAGAATTGATATACTTCCCTCCAAGATGGAGGAGAACCTCAAGGCCTCAATAAATGCAATCCAATCCTGATCTATAACAAGACTTATCGAAATTTCCTCTGTTCTGGAACACCCTTGATTCAATTTGGATTCGATCCATCTTTTGCATGTGTTGAGTTGGTATAGAAGGGATCCATTTTCTTACATCTGAAGTTGCTTCTCATTTGATGCTTTGCTATGTTTCCGGTTTAGTTGAAGTGCTTAAAGAGGGAAATCAGCATAGATATTGAAAGTTGAAAGATGAGGTTCAAATTGTCCAATGTTGTGCATTTCCAACAATATGTCTAGTCAATAAAACTAAAGTTTTACTTATAATGATAGCCCATCACAGACTACGTAACTGTTGTTAAGTTACATGAAGTTGATTGGCAGCAACCAAGCACTGATGTTGAAAAAAAAATATTGGTATTCATATTGGGGGTGATTAAGGCTATATAGCAAGGAACACGTGCGTTTTATACAAGGCCATCAACCTGGGGTTAATTCATTGCTCGGGAGACAAGTCCAACACCAGAAATCTTGTTCGGAAATTATGTCTTGCAGCTTTGGTCGATATTTGAAGGGTTCATCCTTCTCAAGACAAGACAGTTGGTGGGAAGCTCTTCCCACCTATTATTATTGCTCAGTAAAGGATTCCATTAATGCTAGGCACATCCTTGGGGAATGGGATCTTCATCTTCCTATTGAAATCCCCAACTCGGCATTTGGTTATCAACTTCTGCCTGCTTAACCATTGTTGGCTCACGGGTGGGAGTTGTTTGTGCTTTGTGGCAGCAACGGACTAGTTTTGGCATCTTTCATGCTCATGGGTTGCTTTGCGTTTGGGCTTACCTACTTAGATTTGCTCTGGGCTCTGTCTCTGCAACTGTTGGCTCTAATTGAGTCCGTATATTATTACTTTTCAAATAACTTCGGTCTCAGTGGACCTAATTTTTTTTTTAGTTGGACTTAAAATCGAACCTTATAAAAATTTAAACGAGAATTTGGTAACAATAGTTGTTTCGTGTTGAGTCGTATAATCTTTCTCAATAACAAGTGTCGCTGTTTTGACTCAAGTTTTTTGCAACACAAATCTTGGATTTCTTTCACTTAAACATTAATAAAACCATTTTGCTATCAAGAGCCACCTCAATAAGGCATTTCAATAATTATTTAAAATAAATTATATAGAACAAATCTTTTATCTTTAAATTTAGATTATAAAGACTTGTTTGGTAAAAAAAAAAAATGAGGTGGTTTTCTGCCGGATCATGATATTTTAATTTAATTTTTCCATTTCTATTTTAAAAAAATCCCAAGATAAAAATTATGTACCTTATCAAAAGTTTGTTGGGAACTTGAATTCTAAACAGGTAGAAAAAACAACTGATAAGTTGTCAAGATTTTTTATTTTATAAAAAAAATAGACTCCTGCATGTTTCACAAAATATCATTTTATTATTGATAAAAAGTAAAACATACAAATTTAAGAAAAAAGGTGGGTCCCACGACTACTCACTTTCTGGTGGGCTTCAACGTTATCTAATCTGCTGACTCGATGCTATGGACAAAACTCAAACAGCTTCCCCCATGTCATGAATTTTGATACCGTGCTACGAAATGGGTGACGAAGGAGAAGGGTCTGAGTGCGGACTCAGCTCCCAATGGACCGAGTTAACTCGTGAGTGCTTGATCAACATCCTCTCGCGGCTCAACTTGGAGGACCGATGGAAAGGAGCCATGTTCGTCTGCAAATCGTGGCTTGACGCCTCTACAGACCCGTGTCTCTACTCCATCTTCGATCTTGAAACTCACTTCGAATTGGCGACCGAGTCACCTCTCTGGTGGACACCACACTTCGAGAGAAAGATCGACGCCATGCTGCGATCTGTCATCGCTTGGAGCAATGGGTCTCTTACTGAAATTCGCGTCAGACACTCTTCTGATCGCTCGCTCTCCCTGGTAGCTGAGAGGTAAGTGATTTTTTTTAGGACTGGGATTTGATTGATAGTATTCATTTGAATTAGAATTTTAAAATTCTTTTGGTTGACTATTGATTGAAATTTGGCTTTGTTTTGATTGCTTATATCATGTGTTTTGAATTTTTTTTTGCATTTGATTATTGTTTGGGTTTGAATTGGTTGCATATTTCACAGTTTGGGATGAACAATTGGTGTCTTTAGTGTTTCTAATTTAACAATTTATTATTGCTCGGTTGGGCTAAGATTTCGATATTAAATTTTGGCATTCCCTAATTATGTTTTCCAAGTTAGAAGTTTTGTCTGCTTTATTTTATTTTTGTTTTTCTTTCTGATCATATTACCGGCGAATTTGCTTTTAAAGGTGTGCAGTTGAGTTTTGCTTAGTTTTGGTTTCTGTCATTGATTTTTGTGTGTATTTTCGGTTGGGTCTGAAATGATGGATATGGGGATTAACACTTGAATTTCGTTTTTCAAATTTGTAGTGACTGTTGCATTAAGGTTAGGTTCGAATGACGAAATATACCATTGTTTGTTGCTATTGTTGTTTGAGATTGAATGATGAAATTGATATATATATATATATATATATATATTTCCTTTTTCAAAGGTGCCCAAGCCTTCAGGTTCTTTCAATCAAGAGCTGCCCAAATGTTACTGATGCTTGTGTTGCTAAGATTGCTTCTGGGTGTCCCAAGCTTAGGGAAGTTGACATCAGCTACTGCTACGAAATATCTCATGAATCTATGGCTTTATTAGGAAGAAACTGCCATAACCTTAAAATTATGAAACGGAACCTGATGAATTGGATGGATCCTTCCCAACACATAGGAATTGTCCCAAAGGAGTATTTGGATGCCTGCCCTCAAGATGGGGATTCGGAAGCTTCTGCAATTGCAAAATTTATGCCCCATCTGATGCACCTTGAACTTCGGTTCTCCAAGTTATCCGCCCGAGGCCTTGCATTGATTTCTGAAGGCTGTCTCAACATTGAGTATTTGGATGTATCAGGGTGCACAAATGTGACAGGTCGGGATATTGCAAATGCATCCTCCAGTATGAAGCATTTGAAGACTATTATAAAGCCTAATTTCTATATCCCTAGATCAGTCTTCCACACGGAGAGATATGGCCATTGGAGGTTGTACGATGAGCGATTCCAGACCGATGTCTTCCGTATTTGATCAGGCAAGCAAGAAAACAAAAATTGGTCGTCAATTAAGTGATTGTTATTGGACAATCCTTTGTAAATATCATGTTTATTGCACCACTTTCATCTTTTATCCATATGAAATATGACTCTTGTTTAAGTTATGTAGCATCTTTGTACTATGATGTATGTTGTGTACTGGTTTGCTCTATTTATTACTCCGTAATAATTTACATTTCGATGTTTGGTTATCAGATGTATGGCCTTAACTAGAGTGAGTTATTTTTCTGAAAATCTTGTCTTCTTACAGCTTTACCATTTTAAATCTCTGTTGATCATGCTTTGGGGGCCTAAATCTCTTGGGGTTTCCTTTATGTCTTGGGTATCTTCCTTATGGTTTTTGAATTCTTAGGGCTCGACTTTATTGTTCGTGATGGATATTTAAGGTGGTTTTTGGGTTTACTAATGACATGAATTTCATTTTTTCCCGTGTTTAATGTTGCGTGAACAAGAAATATGTTGTCATCATTGTTTGGTTTCTCGAATGCAATATGAGCAACATTTCTACTGTCAATGTACGATTTTGGTGAAAAACTGAACAATTTGGACTGTTCTGTTGTGTAACATATATGGATAGTTCTGCCTTCATTTTTAGAGCATTCCCAGTGCAGCATCTCCATTCTCATTCTACACTTTCACAAAGTGTCCATGTCAATAATTGTGGTGACATGGTTCTACACATTTTTTGAAGGGTTATTTATCTAGTTGTGCACTAATCTTTTATACTCTACTCTACACTTTTATTTTATTATTTTAAAATTTGTAACATGCTACTAATACACCAATCAATTTATTTTATAGTATTAAAAGTACACACAAGGCCCACCATTTCAAGTGTATAATGACTACTTGATTCTACACATTCGAAGAATTGAGTATAAAATATAAGGGGGACCACAAGTGCCAAATGTGACACTAAACCTCTTGAATCTCTATTTTCCTTCAATATTATCTAAATCCTTATGCGCTGGGAATGCTCTTATATAGACCATCGTAAGGCTTCTTTCCAGATCTCTCTCTATAAGGCTAAAAAGAATACCAACCTCCATGGTGTTTGAATACTTCATGCTTTCTATATTCTAATGGCAAATATAATAGATTAAACCACTTACATTACAATTCTTAAATAAACAAATATATGAATATAGTCTAGCTGGTAAATTAAAGCATTGAAAAAAAAAAATTTAATTACATTTAATCGGCGCCTTAGGAATAGAATTGAAGCTTTAGTGAAAGCGGTCCTCTGTTGCATGAGTACACACCTCTGCAATTTGAAATCTTAAAATCATCCAATAAAACACAGAAGAAAGATAAAAGATTCACGGAAGCAATATATTAGTAGACATCATTAGAGGAAGAAGAAACCAGAGAAAACGACTACGTAACCAAGAAGGGTACACATTTGGAGTGAAGATATTTGTGTTGGAATCGCTGTTGACGTTTTGGGACGTGTACCAGGAACAAAGCGGCTCTTCCTCTTGATTTCGACTCCAAACTTTCGATTGTGGAAACAACAAGGCTGGCCACCACCATCTATGGGTTGTAGTTTCCCCTGTTGCAGTGGGTGGCTCAGAATTCGAGTCAGTGACGTGGAAAAATCTTCATGAGCTGAACTTGGAAAAGATTTTGATAGTAAGAGGAGGATTATGAGTGATGCAGAAAGTAAGAAACGTATCATGTCTGCTAAACAAACAAACGGATAATTTGCTGGAGAAGGACAACCAAAATTGAGAGAGGACTAAGAGATTGGCATAAGTGGCGGTGGTTGGGATGGGCCACTAAGTGGATTACGCATGGGACATTCAAAATTAGGTACCCTGTCTCAAAGAAAGATGTATGTATCAAGTGGGTGGGTGCGTGGGTGGGGGCAACAGTGTTGCTAAGTGCACCACCAAAGTCGCCTAATTCGGCAAGACAAGAGTGGATGATAAAGAGATAAACATGCACTACATCCAAGCAACAATGGCAAAAGACAAGACTTCCGAAAAAGAAACCCTTTCTAAGGTGAAAACTTTTCACAACTTATAGAATTTGAATAAAGAACGTTTGTGTCGTGACAATACTCGTACAATAGGCACAAAGGTAGCTTACTAGCAGTGATGCTGAGACCAAATATCCTTTAGTGAATCAGGTTCAACAAATCCAATACTACAGTTACGGTCGAGCAGAAACTTCTCAAAGAAAAAAAAAAAATGGCAGACAAAAGATTTACTATTACTAGACAAAGTGGAAAAGTTATAACCATGTGGCTTATATTGCTGATGTATTCACAGATGCAATTAGCGGAACAAGTTATTCAGAATATCCGGGTTGAGCTTCTGAAGTGATGAAACCTGACCCACTTGTTTAGCCACTTCCCCAATCACTCGATCCATGTATAGCACATAAAGCCCGCTCCTGCTTTCCAGGAGTTCTAATGCTTTCCGTGCATGAAGAACTGATGTCAACAACTCTTCAAACAGCCCTGCAAATCACCATACAAATTCATTTTCCCATTTGTTTATTATTCCAGTTTTAAATATCTCTGAAAGAAAATGCTTCTCCTCTTACAACTGACAAGTACTAGCAATTACACTTCATTTTTCAATTATAAACTAGGCACTGTGCTTCTCGGGCTTATATGTATGAGAAATGCTATATTGGTTGATAACAGTACAATGAAAAATAATAATAAGTCGATTAACATAGACCAAAATGGACTCGTACTTGTCTCAAAATCTTCATTGCTTGACCAAGTTAGTAAGTAGTCTGATATTAAGAACTCGATAAGCTGGATCCTGCCACCCACAAAACAAATGAGACAACTTTCCTGGAAACAATAAATTTTAGTATTCTCACTCAAAGTTGGCCATATGGTTTCAAATTTAAATACAAGAGTGCATGGTGGCCATCACCTTAATGAACTGGATCTTGTCATTTTTTTTTTTTTTTTCCTAGTTGGTACTGACACACACAGGATCTTGTCATTTACATATTAAACAAGAAAAAGCTAATTACCAAAGCAATTAAATATAGAAAAGCAATCTTGTAAACATCAAATGAACTAATAATATTTTATTGGCTTGAAGAAAGGATAATAATAACCCAAAGAAAGAATGTTAGCTGCTACCATAATCAGCCTTTCTGTGGAGATGGTCAGAAAGTGGATAACTATACTTAGGAGAGAGAGGTCGAAACATTAACCAGAAGGCAAAATCTTGAGGGAACAAATTATCAAGCTACTCAACACTGATAAAATTCAGTAACGGAAGGACAGGGAAGAAAGGTCGGATTCCAGCTAAAAGATGAAGAAAAGATGAGTCAATGAGGATAGTAGGTGCCAAATTGGGCGTAGAACATCAACAATTGGAAGAGGATGATAGAAGAACAATGTAGAAGGGGGGATTCGTGATAGAAGGTTACATGTTATACCAAAAAAGGAAACAAGGGGTGAGAATGGAGTGGGCTATTCTATACAGAGGAGGACTCTTATTTGATAAGTTGGAAGGTTTTTTATAGATGAAGTCACATGTGAAAGACAACCAATAAGATGGGGACGTGTGTCTAGAGTGGTATCATTTCCAGAGAATGACACGTGTCTCATTGGCTCTTTCCACCTCTCTCCTGGAGTACATAAATACCTGCTCACTAGAAGTGATTATCCACGGGTATAAAGAGAATGAGTCCACACGCGGTGACTCCAATATGCATGTGGTAACCCAATCACTATATATAGGTCCCCCGTGACATCATTCTTAGTCAGCATTCCCTCCTTGAAAACCCCCAGGTGACATGCCATGATGTATTATGGTTAATAATTACCTATGTGGCTAACATGTGGTAAAGACCAGAATCTTTTACCTACAAACAGCAATAGGATAATACTCAAAAACTTGCATGGATAGAAATATGATCATGGCAGGAGCCGCAGGACCATAAAAACAATAGCCATTATGTATAACAGAACGAGTAGACAAAGGAAAAAAATGGTACACTTAAAGACACCCAGATTAGAGCAGAAAAATAATTGATGGCAGTAAAATAACACGCTCTAAACCAAATCAGGGGCAGAACCTGATATGAGCAAGCAAGTATTTTCAATAATCATATGGCATCTTTGTTCGGTAACACATAAGAACAATGCCGGTAAGGATAAAAGATGCAGAAAAATGCTTTGAGAAATTATTATCCAGGAACGTCACGACAAAGGTAACTGCTTTCACAGTCACAACAGGACATCTAAACGGTTTCTAGCGAATTGAGAAAATCTGTATAATACTATAATCCTTACGCATATCCATACATGTACGATGGAGCTTAGACTTACTATGCATAAGCAGATCAATGCATATTTGAAACAATCCACAAATGACCAACTACACTAAATCAGAAATGAAACCCTACAAATGACAGGCTATGAGAATCTGAAATAAAACAGTGAATAAGAGCATGAATTGAGGGAAAAAAAAAAAAAAAGAAGACAAATTGAACTGTTATACAAGTTACATACTGTACGATGAGGTAATTTAAACTCATGAAATTGTCAAGTATGAAGAGATGGAATGATGATCTGAGATACGATCAACATCAAACAATTGCCCACGATAATTGTGGATTCCCAATGTCAAAACTACGTAGGTGCATTATCTTCAGACAAACTAACTAAACATTATAAGTCAATTCTTGAATTCCACATGTACATGACAAAACAAGAAAAGAAAGAAAGGAAAAATATGTTTTTTTTTTCGTTTTTTTTTTATTAAAAAATAAACATAAACTACAGCTCCACATTTTGCATTCAAGGATTGTAATCTAGTGGAGAAAACCAATAACCCTATTGAAAAAAAAGAACCACAGAAATTTAAGAACGAATAAGGAATTGCAGCCATAAGCAGAAAATCTTCATAAAAGAGATTTCAATTAATGAAGAGTGATTTTAAACATAACGTGACGTACGAACAAAATCTGTAGAAAAAAAGTAATATGATTGCCAGGTTATTAAAGTTCAGTCTCCAACAAGGAGAAAATTTAAATGGTTGTCTAGGCATCGAGGAGATAATAATTGAAAAATATATGATTTTAAGACACTTACATCATGTACATGCAACAATGCATGTTGGGAAAAGCATCATCAAATGGATCCATAAATAGCAAACTTTCGGCTAATGCAGAGATTCTTTGAGAAACTGAAAGTATCACACGCTGTCCAACAAAGGGCTCACTTCCAAGCTTACGGATTAAGTGCTGAACCAAGATTTGGGCATCAGTGTCAAATTGATGTAATTCTGAAACAGAATGTTGGAAACAGAAAACAAAAGGATAATTGATCATGATAAAATAAAAGAGCTGAATTTATGGCAGTTAGATAGACGAATAGAGAGGAAAAAATGACAACGATAGTATACTATTACTAGATGTAAGCCCAAGCAAGGCATGTGAAACTATTAAACAGAACAGTAATAAAGTGAAAGGAAAAGGAAATTACAAAGGCAAGTTTGTTCTATCTCATTTTATGCAGCTTATATTTATCAACCAAAAATACAACTGCCACAAAAAAATAAATTGTAGAAAATAGTCTATAAACTATAAATTCTTGAAAGAACTGTTTTCTTTATTCATGTAATACAGAATAGAAAAGGAAGATGATTCTTATCACAATAGTATTTAGAGAAGATTTTAATCTACCAAAATCAAATTGTGAGAATTTTTGTAGTAGAAACTTTTAATCAACTTCTGATCACCAAAAAGAAAGCATGGTATGCAAAATATTAGTAAAAATCTGAAAAAGAAGGCAACTGCCCAGTGCTCTAGCAGGTGCTGGTAGGAATAAACTCGAACCACTAAATGTCTTAGCTGTTTACTAGCCTATTCCCAACTCCCAAGCATGCAATTCTTGCAGATACGAAGAATTGTGAACTGCAAATTGGGGAGAAGGCACGACTACGCTAGAAATAGGATACATCGCCTTCAAACCTTTTTACCTAACTACTATGACAAAAAAAGTTTAAAACAGCTTAAATAAAAAATTAAAAATTAAAAAAATAAAATAAAATAAAAAAAATACATCTAAATGTTTACCATCTTCCTGTAAGGTAGTACACATTCTCCTAACCAAACGCACAATTAAGCTGCTGACAAGTCCTTCAAGTGATTCTAAGTTCTTTCCCGTTGATGAAAGATTCTTCAATGCAGCTTCACAATAAAGCAAATAACACCATTAAAAGGACATGAAACATTAAAAAGAAAATTAAACTCGTGCGTGTATGGTGAGTGATGGCCTATGCTGCAGCCCTTTATAGTAAAGCAAATTTTAACTAAAAGCAGAAATGAAATTCGTCGACATATCATTGAAAATTTATAGAAATGAAAACCACAAAAAAAATAATCCATGGTTTACTGTAAGGAGAACAATACATTAACAAGATAGATCATAAAACCAAATTTTAATACACTGATATAGTTCAAAAAAAAGTCTGGTAGTATAAAGAAGGTGATGGTCACTACCTAGAATGAAGTCTACAGCTTGGTGCGACCAATTTGTAAAATTGGCAGCCTCCACCTGCAAAACAGAAATTGAAAATGTGTTTTTAGAATAAGAAAGCAAGTGCGAATGGTGGAAGGAAAGCAGATGATGGAGCCAGGAGTAATGCACTCTGACAGGAGAAACACTGTCACAAAGCTCCACGAGAAAATCAACTGAGTCTCTAAGCTGCTCCGCTTCATTTTCAGTATTATAATCTGCAATTATATAGAATACATTAGAAATAAAACTAAGAAAAAGAAATTGTATATTTCTGCTTAAACTATTTGAGCACTAGCGTGTCAACTTTCCACCTTTACCCAGCGCACAATTCTTTTCCGAGTCCCAGGCAACACCAAAAACTCATAAAATTACTGCTAAATATTTTAGGGGAAAACAAAACCTAGGTATCATTACAAGATAAGAAAATTGTACAATTTTCCAAGCACTGGGCTCTGCAGTACAAATTATCAAACTTCCAAGTAAACTAAAACGAAAGTGCTAGTATAACCAAGTAGTTCATATACCAAAGAAAGGTTGCGGCTGAGTGGAACCATCTGTTCTTCTTCTCCTCCTCCTTTCCTTCAGTCGAACTGCAAAGTAAAATCAAAAGCATTTGGTTCTCAAAGCAACATACATGATATTGGATAAGAAGATGAAGATTATGAGGAGCAGCAGAAATGTATTGTGACCTTGTCTGAGAAATCTCCGGCGCAAAACATCATTAAATCTCCGATCACAACCGTCTCCAAACCGATTAGGGCTCAATTTGCCCAAATTATCAAAGAAATAACACTTGCAAGACGCACTTCCCGGAAACAAATCATAATGTAAACCATCTGTAACAAAAGAGAAAAAACAATATAAAGCTCATTAAAACACAAAGACCAAGATGCATTCGTGTATATATATATAGAGAGAGAGAGAGAAAGAGAAGAGAATTACGAACCTTCGGCCTCCTTGAGATCTTCTTTGAGCCTCAAAAGCTCTTGTTTACGCTCCTTCGCCTGAAAAGTCCATCAATGACGACGAAATTAGGGTTTTAAATTCGATCTAAGAGAGAGATTCGATCTAAGAGAGAGAGTAAAAGGATTAGAAGAGAAGTGGACCTTGCGCTTCCATTTCTGAGCGTCGGATTTAGAGAAAGCAGAGGACGAAGATGGATGATCTGTAGAAGGCGGGTTTTGGCCCAGCTTTGATCGAAGAAATGCCACTGCTATTGCCATCTTCATAGATTCATTCGAATTACTATCCCTTTGCTGCTTCTCCGATGACGACATTCTCTCTCTCTTCAAATACGCGGTAGCTTTTGATTGCACTTATTCAAAGTCTGTTAATGTAGATTGCCGCTTTTTTTACACCACAGTGCCATTGCTGGGTTGTTATAGACAGATCGTTTCGCGGCGGAATCAAGTTTTATCATTTACACTGTATTTGTGTGGATTTTATTGTACTTATATTTACGCTTATTCAGAAACTCGATTTTGATTAAGAATTGGTAAAAATAATGGAGTGTATTGTTAGAAGAAAAATAAAATGAAAAGGGTGAAAAAATTTTGTTTTTGTCAGGTAGAACTTGTCCATCATGCTCAAGCTTTTTTGTCAGATGTATAATGACAAAAAATTTCTAACTAGAGAATCTCAAAGACCAAGTAGGAGTTGAAAACATTTCAAATTACAAGCAAAATATCTACCGCACCAACCAAATAAAAGACAACTTAAATATCAACCAAACGTAAAAGTAAAACAGGCCACCCCGCAAAAGAATAATGGATGCCAAAGGGAAATTTGTTCACATGCTACAAGGAAAAAGCATAATACAAAATTCTATTCTCCTTTCAAGGTAATGCAATGCAATGGTAAAGCTATGTCATTTATGAACTTGAACAGTAAATAACTCCAGTCCAGAATAAAAATTAAAAAACAAAAAACTAATCAAATACAAAACAACTAGGTCTCATGTGAGGCCACGTGTCCCGAGCTACTTTGGCATATGATTTAGCCACACTCGAGAGCAAAATCTCTTTGATGAAGACCCCAGTATGACCTCCGACAATATACAGCAAAATCACCTGTTCTCAGCAGCTCCACCTTTTATCACATAATGTAATACAGTTGTGCTTGTCTCCAATGGGGGGTGTAAATGGAAGGTGCATTTGTGAAAAGTGAAAATGATGGCAAACGTTCCATTTATGAAATTACAGAAGTTGAAAATATCCAACGATTTTGATATCTAGGCTCGCTACAGTAGGCTCTCACAGGCCTCAATATCAGATGCTTGTGAATCCAATATCCCTCGTTCGGTAGAACTGGAAGTGATAATCCTCATTGCAGCTACAAATATTGTTTTCCGGAACCCCTCATCCTCCACCTTATTCAGCACCTCCTTCAAAACCTTAAAGTCCAATCCCCCAGCCAAAATTAGTTTCCCAATGATCTCGCCAAAATTATTAGGTGCTTTTGGTAAATCAATGCCGATATCATCCAATGTTGAACCATACAGCAAACATCCAGTCCCTATGTCCCTAGCCGTGAGGACCTTCTTGGCAATCAAGTACTCCAGAAGTTTTGCAACTGGCTCCACGCAGGGCGGGCTTTTCTCCAGCGCCAGGGAAATGGCTTCTTTGACAACCTCGGGGTGGTAAGCTGGGGAGTTCAATTCCTCCACACACTGTAATGCTTCATCTAAAATGCGGACACTAAAATATTCCTCCAGAAGAGAGAGTGTTTTTCTCCTAAGTTCATCCAGATTCAACCTTGCTGCAGGAGCCATAGGTTTCTCAGCAACTGGAAGCGCAGACAAAGTTGGAACAGGTTTGGAAGGCGCAGGAACTTGGGATGCAGGATCCATACCAAAACCAAGGTTAGGCGAACGGACAGGAGTGCCACCACTGCCTTGCAACAGTGCACTAGTCCTACCACTTACAAGACCACCACTACCCTGAGGAAGCAATTTTGAGTTTAATGATGTAGGCTTGCCAATCAATGGTGGCTGGACACGTCCAATGGACTGAATAGTTGAAACATCACCCCTTGACGTTGACCGGGACCTAGGAACTTCCCAATTGTCATTATCAACTCCGGGCATCCCCGGCATCTTCCTGGTTCCTGGCATTCCAGGCATCATACCCCCAGCTCCAGGACGGTTAATGGGGAAGCCCCCAGGACTAATACTCCCCGGACCACCAGAAACAATACGACTATTTCTCATGCTTGCTGTAGCACCAGGACGCAACCCCAGATTCTTTTCCGCCTCCGAATGGATTTCAGTGATGGTTTTGGCTTTAATCTGTATAGTTAAGGAAAAGACTACAAATTTAGACCAACAACAAATCTAATAATAGCAGTTGATGAGCCATGAGAGTTTACCTCCTCCCTCCTGGGGACCCAGTTATTTGAACGAAGATCGAGAACATCCCGAACCATGAACCTCAGACGTGGAGCCAGCTGGGGGTTCGTTGATAATTCTTTCAATCGATTGAAGTAAATATCATTAATACGCCGTGATTTAGGGCTTTCATCAAGCTGTTTACCTATGGTGTTGAAGAACTGACATATAGCCTCAACGTTTTCCTCCTCGGGACAAGTCTTACTATCATGTCCTAAAAGCTCCTGTTTTAAATAACAAATAATTATAAAGCATACAGAAATAATCAAGAAATTTCAAAATAATGTAAAACAGAGTAGGTCTAAGATGAGCTCCAACAAGAACCTGAACAATGTGATGAACAATCTTTTCCATCACCATCCTCTGCTTCAAAAGCTCCCCAATTAGACGGATGTTTCCAAGAGTGCGAAGCTTCATCATTCTTTCTTTATCTCTCCGTTCCATCTCTTGCTCTGGTGCAGTCATCTGCCTTAGTTCTGCCCGTAGTTTGTCAGCACCTTCAAATGCCTCCTGGCAATTATTCAAGAGGACTCGCTTAAAGGTGATTTCTTTCCCTCCTGGTTCATCAGATGGAAAGGGGGGGAGCTTTTCATTGAGATAGGAACACAAAAGAGCATACATTGGGCAAAATGTGGGTTCCAGCACGGCCTTGTCAAATATCAAGGAGATAACTCCCTGCATCACTAGCAGAAACAACATTAGATTTTACAGTCGCAATAAAAAAAAATAACATCATTATAGAAAAATTATATATATATATAGATCAGGCACAAATATGTATGAAAAAGAGGAACCTTCAAAATATCAGCTGATGTGATCCCAGATTCAATTAGCTGATCCTTGAGAAGATCAAACTTCTCTGGGGTTAGCTTGTTGAGTATACTGCGCGTCAAACAAAAGACTACTCAGCATGGGTTTTTGGCCTAAAATGCAAGTCATCTAGAAATACTTATCTTTAGTTATATTCAATCATCAATTAAAGACTGCTGTCAAATGACGTGAATGCAGTTCTGTATGATATTATTAGTTTCCAGAGCCAGTAATTCTTTTTCTGGTTATCTTTTTCACATTCACCTAATTCAAGGAGCGTCTTTAAAATTTCAGGATCTTCACTACTTTTCAGACTACATTCAGGAATCAATTGTTGCCAAAAGGTTGCCAATGCAGATATTAGGAAATCAAATAATAGATCTTCAACATAAATTACCCCTTTACTGTCTTTAAGACACGTTCCTTATCGGAAAGATTCCCCCTTCGAGCAGACCATGGAACCTCAGCCTTAATTAGAGCAGTAGGTCCTACCTGGTTCAAAGACAAGACGTGAGTCGATATTAATTCCAAAAAGCAACTATACATGCACAAGGGCCAAAATTTGCATGGCAAGCACACCACAATTTAACAAAACAGAGCCACCTAACATTGACAACTAAAAGATAATATCGAAATCACCAAAAGTCAGAAGAGGTTAGAAGAATATTTCCAAAACAAGCCCACCTAAACATTCAAAGCTACATTTAGTAATACCTCTACTTTCAATGGTGCATTTAGTTTGTAAAATTGGAGATGGAGATGAAAACATTCAAAGCTATTTATTAATTTTTGGGCCATCTTAAATAATGAGTTCGTGGTGCCCTTTTCTCAGATAAAGGGTCACTTCCTATAAGTTTTGAAAATGAAATAGGCTTAAAACACCATAAGGAAAGAGACTGCTGCATCAAATATAATTTGTGCTATAAGGTGAGAGGGGAGGATGTGGTGGTTTTTGTGAGTGGGGGGGCTTGCAACTGATACCACTACCTCTCCAACATCATCACCATCATTCATTGTCATGCCACCTCCACTCAGACCACCAAGGGAGCAAATTTATGAACGTGCAAAGTATATAGGGCCAATCTCCCATCAAAACCCTTCTATGATTTTTAAAATAGGCAAAATAATCTTAAGGGGTTGGAGAATTCTCCCAAAGCCACAACTCGGGCAAACTAAACATCATTTTTTTCAATTTGTGACCGAACATCTCAATGTCAGCAATACTCCTTCGATGCCGAATAAGACATAATAGCATAGTTCTTCAATCCTGTCTCACTCTTCTACTTGCACATCCATTACAAACTTCCCAGCACCTCACCCAACCAATTTTGGCAAAATCCAATATACCCCGACAAGAGAGCAAAACACACCAAAGATTAATAGCCACCACACATAGATGGTCAAGAGTCTCCTCATCTTCCACTAGAACAGCATAGATTATTGGTTCACAAGATCGTCTCCAAATCTGCTATGATTGTGCGCCAAGGAAGACATTTTTTATGATACTAATACCAAATTACTTTCCAAGAAAACTTTGATGCCTACTTAAAAACACCACAGTACAACGAAGCCATCCAAATCCTCCACTCTCCATTGACCTTCCATCTCAATCAACATTCTGAACATATAAACAAACCACACAAAGACAACAGCATCCTAAGTAAGACATCTAATGTCACAACCCACCCCGCACCATGTAGATATTTGTCCACTTTGAATACACTCTTCTCAGTGCTCACGGTTTCGCTAAAATGTCAGGAATTCAACCCCCCAAAAAGGTGATGTGGGACGTCACAATCACCCCCTCTTGGGAACTAGCGTCCTCGCTTGATGCGCATAGGCTTGTGCACGCCCCCCATTTCCGGTTGGGGATTGGCTCAAATACCATTTGTCACAGACTGTCTTGAACCATGTAAATATTGTCCGCTTTGCACTCTCTCCTCTCGGGCTCACGGTTTTGCTCAAAACGCGTCTGCATGGTTAACGGTGGTCCACAAATATAAATGCCAGGAACTTTTCCCCCCAAGCGATGTGGGACGTCACATCTAACGTCTCTAATTAATTCCGATTCCTATACTGCCTTGATAAACCAGAGCTCCCAGACTAGCAAGTAACAAGACCAATGCTCAATTACTCCCAGATCACCACCACCACAATTGCACAACTGAAAGCCTAAAACGCCTTGCAAACACAAATACTAACACTGGCACCCACTACCTTTAGCGCCACTAATACCGGTTCGCCATTCATAATAAAAGATGCCACCATTTTCGTTGAAGCAACACCATAACTAAGTCTGGAACTAATATCACCATCTTCACCACTTCTACAACACAGCCCACACCCCTATCACAAGTAACACATCCATAAAAATGCTGCCATGCCCCAAGTAACACCTCCACATCACTAATTTTTTACGTCACAATACTATTTATCATCACCACTGGTAACATCACTGCTGCACCACTTTCTCTACATTAGTCCCATCATCACCAACACACACCATTTTAGGAGCAACACATAAAAGTAAAACTGTCAATAGCCCGTATATCCACCACAACAATCTCTTCCAAAAAAATTTGTTCTACCAAATCCAAAACGAATATTCTTATAATCGAAGTGATCTACTTTAATAAATAAACTAAAATTATTATATTCGCAAAATGCGAGACTTAGACCACAAGGTAAATCCAACCCATATCTCAACCATGAACAAATAATATATCCAACTAGACAGGAGGATGAGTTATTTGGAATTTCCAAAGGAGGATGAGATTTAAGCCAACATTTGACTTGACATCTCATTCAAAAACAAGTAAAAAATTCCCAGCAAAATTCTTTTGTTTGGTAAACAAAACTGAATTGCCACAAAAAGTATTTTTTTACTAAACCAATAAAAAATTCAAATCCATCAGGTTGTCCTCCTTTATTTTGGTGAACCAAAGCTCAAGGCTGCATAATGAACTAGGAGAAGGTCTAGCAGCCATTAAATTTTAGACGTGCATGATGAAACAAAAATGTCACATAATCACCTGGTATGCAGTAAACATGGATGATGTATTATGAAACAAATAGGCACTAAATAAGGATCACATGGTATGCAGTATGCTAGCTCTATTAACTGAACAATTACTAAAATTCCAAGATGTCAAATAATCCAACACGAAATAAGTGTCCCTTTTGGGACTCCTACCATTTAAGGAAACATGCATTTAATGCTTCCCCCTTTGCATTTCCAAAACTAGTCCTCTAAAAATTAAAGGTAAATATCATTAATTTAGAAGAGAAAAATTATTACAAAAAAAATTAATAAACTTGATGATAATTTAGGAAAGCTTCAATTTTTTTACCCTGATCTTACAAGAGGAATACCTACTCTGGGATATCCCAAAAAGGAAAGATAGGGACTTATTTTGGGACGGAGGGAGTAAAAAGAAGACACAACACAATTGAACTGCTTCATCAAATGTTGTGTCATGAGAATCATTGAACTCACCAGTAAAAATTAACTTCCGTGTAGTTGCAATTTTAGGCAACCAAAAATATTTATACACATTAATCCAGGCACCAAAATAATTCCATGAGACTAAATGTCAACTACAAAAAATATGGGTGTGAAGTAAATAGACCATTGAATTAGCTGAAGAACATTGTGTTACCCCTTGGTTTGAAGAGGTTTGTGTCCTCGCAAACTGGGAGTTGAGTTGGTCTTGACGATTATATTGAATCGTTTCCTGCTGTCTAGAGTCAAATCGACCACCAAACTCCTTATTCTCTCGAATAGCTTCCCAGGACCTCTCTTCTCCAGATGTAGGAAATTGTGCAGATCGACCACGCCAGTCACGATTGTCTGGCTCCGAATATCGACCCTGTGATTGATTTTGCAGCTACAAAGGAGAAATGTCACAGAAGGTAGAGAAATGTCACAGAAGGTAAGATAATAGAGATAAACTATAAAAGAAAATAAAAAATCAACTAAACTGAGTGACGACGGTGTAGTGAAATATCTAATAAAAGAATGGTGTGGTGGTTGTGTTGGTTAAATATTGGGTATGTTGATTTTTTAATATACAATATTGACCGACAATCAATATTGGGGCATTGGTTTGATTATGGCCACAGAAATCAACCAAGGTAGTACTATACAATGTTTCTTTTTGTAAATTCACAACAAATTTGTAAGATGATTCCTACTTACCCAAAAAAGGAGCTTGTTGGAATATTATATATATAGGATTAATCTTAGAAGACTATCTTTAAGCATGTATGGTAAAAATAACCTTTTTAAAAAAGTTAGGATTTGATTCAAGAAAAGGAATGCAAATTTATTTAATAAAATTGAAGATGAAGAAGAAGAGTAAGAAAGAAAGAATTACAGATATTTTTAGGAAAAATTTTTTTAGGAGAGCATTATGTAATATTTTACAAGTTATATGCATATATCTTTTTAAAATTTTAATGGGACAGCCTGGACCCCATGGGGGGCCAAAAAAATGAAGAGGAAGAAGAGTAAGAAAGAATTAGAGAGATTTTTAGAAAAAATAAAATAATTTTAGGTGGAGCATTAATATGCCTATATCTATTAAAAACAATTAATGGGCCAGCCTGGCTCCGTCACTACTTGGCAAAAACAAAGAGCCAAAGACAAGCATAAAGATCTAAAACTTGTTGCAACAAATTGATCATTTTGTTCATAAGGTCCCATATCCGCACCCCTGAAAGAATACATACGTATATACACACTACAAGCATCAAAGTATAACAGAAACTCACATTACTTTCTCCACGAACCCAGTTTTGATCTTCACCAAAAAATTCAGCTTCAACTTCTTGTTTGATCTTCAGAATGTCCTCGGGGATATTAACAATCTATAAGAAAATAAGCATAATCAGATTACTCTCCGTCCGGCCTGAGGAAACCTTTGCACGCCTCCGTTACCAAGTAAGATTGAAATTAGTATGTAAACAAAGGATAAATTGTTTGCTTCACATGACAATTAAGAACATTGCAGGTCAGAAGGAAATGTATAATATATGGAACCATTACCACTCTTGCTATGATGTTATTCATCAGGAAGAAAACAATAAGCACCGTTGGAAGTGATTGTCTGATATAATAAATAAAAAAATACTAAAATCTGCTTCTTTGCAAGTTGCAAATGTCCATGAGAACCCGAGGAAATAAATAGAAGAACATAAATACAAAGGAAAGGACAAGGAAAGAAAAGATGTATTTAGTGAATAGGAATATAACAAATTATAGAGTTCTATTTTTTCATTGGCAAACGGCAGATAAGGATATCACAGTAAATAAGGCAAATAGCACGGGCAATATATAAGGAAGATCCATAAATGTATAAATAGATATCTAGTCCACTTCTCATGTTTCCCTACAATTTTGCAACCGACCAATAAACAACTATGCAAATAAAGCATTTATGAACTAACAGTAACATCTCCTCCAATGCCAGAATGCCACCAAGCTAGTATTGCATATAAGAATTACGAAAAAAAAGATTAAAAATTACCTCTCTAAGTTGTAAAAGCTCGTCTCGAGCATACCGAACACGCTCACGACCCTCAAACCGGGAGTCTCCAGTCTACGACAAGAAAAGTACAGAACCAAGAGGAGTCAAATTCTACAACCACTAGTTAGTTTACAAAAACAAATAATTAATCAACATCATCATCTTTAAATCAAGAAAATAAACATGGAATAACTTATTTCAATGATAAGCTGAGTAAAACATCATTCGATAAGTTTTTGCTACACTCAATGTCAAAGAAAGTGCACAATTATTTCACATCAGCTAAGTGTCTAACTGAAATCAATAAGGAAGCCTAAAATACTTAGTAGACAGGTAACCAATAATTCTAATTAATTCAATGAGCATCCAAGTATAGTACAGTCAGTACCTGACATGCAACAAGTCATATGCAGAATAATGTTGCTTAGAAATTTGGAGCATTCACGGTGATAATATGCACGAATGATGCTGATATACATGTCAGTTCAGAAAAACTAAAGACATTTTTAACAATGCAAAGGCATCCTAAACAGCCACTCCCGAATAAAACAAACACCTGCAATAGCAAAGTCATGCAACAATCACATTATACCAATTATGAAAATGCATCTACTCTTCTATGGCACATTATAAAAATGAACCAATTGCATGCTACCAATTGCTTTGTCAACCATTTCCTAATATTGGATGGGATCAATGACAAAGTTGGTCCTTATTTTTCATACCTCCCATCACAAGCATGAACACCTCAACTTTCTTTCATAAATGATCCCTTGTGGAGCTTGCACGCCTGCAAGTCCTTTAACAACAACTTGATACTCATGGCATGCCTACCTAAAGCCCATGCGTTTCTCCATCTCCATATTTACAGTGGGTGCACTTATAATAAGCCCCGCCAATCATTAGTACATTAACTTAAAGAATTCTTGATCGATCCCACTGACACCTTTTTAAAGCCCACACAATTTTGGAAACTTATTGGAAGACTTAAATAGTTATAGTTTTTTCCTACGAAAAACCAGTGTTTTTCTTTTTCTTTTCTTTTTTTAATTTTTAATTTTTTATGAGTGACAGTGTTCTCTCTTTTCCCTTCCTGCGAACTTATAAACAAAACTTACAGAACTACACAGAAAAAGAAAAAAAAAACACACACACACACATGCCATTAGTCTATATGACTTAAAAAATATAACAACATTCAACTAATATAAGATAATCAATATCTGAATTCGGAATGCAATATATAACAGAAACTAAACATGAACTATCAGGTTGCAGATAATGTAACCCAAGATTGCACTAGAATCCATTTCACATAAAAATCAAATCACTTCCTCAATAGAAGAAACATAAGTTATAGCTAAACCTTCTCTTTTTGTTAAGCTAAAACGTGTCTAAATCAATGACGTCGCAGAGTATCATTTAGAAAACATAAAACAAATTAGTCAATCACAAAGATATAGATGATATATATATATATATACACACACACACACACGAAATCCGATGACATGAAACAGTTGAAAACACGAACAAGAACCATGTAAGAGCTAAAAAGCATCCAAAAGCGTGATAAGAACGGATGAAACCCGTAGATCCATGGAAGGAAAGAGAAAGAATTTACCTTGATAGAGAAAGAAGGAGGAGCACCGCCATGAGGGCGAAGAACCGGAAGATCAGATGAGAGAGAAGAAGCGAAAGCCGAAGACTCGAAGCGAGGGCCCAGGACTCTACTGCCTCGATTGCCTCCACCACCACCAGGTCTCAAGCTCAACACCGTCTGATCAGACTGCATAACTCGATCTCTCAGTCTTTAAAGCCAATCGCCGCCGTCGATCAAAAAAGATATAGGAAAAACAACAGAATCAGCGATTCGAATACACTGAATCAGATTGATTGAAGATATATTTTTTTTAGAGAAAGAAAGTGTACATAGAGAGTGATAGAGATTCCCTTGGGGAAAGGATGGGAGATTGAGCAGGACGGGAGAGTTCTGGAATTTCTCTCTCTCCTCTCCGAAGAGCAAAAAGTGAAGAGAGAGGTTTGAGGTGCCAAAGGAGAGAGAAAGACCCTCCTTTATTTGGTGGTCACTGTGGAATTTTTCACTCTTCTTATTTAGGTTTTTACTATAGTTGTCGCTCTATTTTTAAATTACGTCAGTGTCCTAACTTTATTGAGGTATTAGATATTCTTTCGTTTTAGTTGACCAATTTGCCCTCATATTCTCGTGAAACTTCAGTTGGCCAAACCCAACATAATATATATATATATATTTTTTAATGTTATTAATTCGTAAAAACATGTTGTTGTGAAAGTCAAATTATTTCTAAATTAAGAGAGAAAAAAGTTATTTGGTGTTATAAATAACATTTAGCGGGTATTTATTTTTTCCTATAACGATCCTCATATAATTTTCTATAATTTTATGGTACAAGATTACACTAAACTCAAGATTTAATTATTTATTTTAGTGATCTTGGCTCTACAAAATTATAAATGATGGGCATGATTTTCAATGGCTTCTCTTATCAAAATTAGAGAAATGACAACCAAATAGACAAATATACCATGTCAAGTGTGTAAGAATCATAAAACTATTATCAAAATCATAATAAAACTAATAATAAAAATGTAATTAAATCAAGAAGACAATCAAAGTTTTGACTTTTGAGTGAACTTATAAAGAAAATAATAAAAAAGAGTTATGCTAGTAGCAGCCCAATAATAGTTGCCCAACACTTGAGGAACTCTTGCGGTTGATTTTTAACTAATTTAATACATAAAAAAAATAATAATAATAAAAAATAAAAAATATAACAATTGATGTGACTGATTTAAAATCAATCATGCAAATTCCTTGTATATTGTGATTGTCCAATCACCACTAAGTGATTATTCTCAACATTGTTTAATAAAAAAATGAGTGAATAACAAAAAATTCATGAATATACAAAGATATATGTGTGCACAATTATGTTAAACGGACTTCAACTCAACTCAAGCTATGTTAAACGGACTTCAACTCAACTCAAGCTAACTAACTTAATTAATGACATCAAAAAAATTAGAATACTTAGAACCATCATATACTCAAATTAACGAATTTGAGCTAAAATTGAGAAAATTTTATTCAAAATCAATTTTAATTACTTTCAAATGTTCATGTCAATGGCACATTTTTTCAGGTCAAAAATTTCATGTGGCAATTTTAAATTACTTGTAACATCAATTGAAGTTAACCTCAAGTAACATTTGAATTTAACTACAATTTTTTAACTCAAACCCAGATTGCATTTGTTCCAAAAGAATGGGCTTTAACTTGGACTAGATTTAGACCAAGCCATATTTTTTCCAAAAGAACGAAAAAGAGAAAACAAAAAAATGCCAAAAAGAATGGAAAAAACAAAAAAAAAAATGCTTAGGTGAAGACAAGAAATATAAGAAAAAGCAATGGCATGGTGGTATTTTCACCACAGTTGAGGAATTAGTAGTACTTTCACCACAACTAGATACTTACTTACCCTTTCAAGTGGCTTCTTTGCCAAAAACTTCAACGTTTCCAAACAAAAATGCGGCGTCTTCTAACTCTTTGTTTGCCCTACTTTTTACCAGTTACAACAAATGGACCCCACACCCGACCACCCAATCTTATCGAGGTTCGGCGCACTCGTGGCACCATCTAGTTAAATCCGCGAGCGACAGTGAAGTCCATTGACACACACGTGGCGGTTACGTCCGCTCTGGCTTTACTACTCTACTTTCTACAACCTTTTTATTAGGCCTCCTCTAGTTGAAAATACGTACGGGTTGGGAACCCAATTCACTTTTTTTTTTTTTAAACGGAACCCAATTCACACTTTAAAGTTTACGCAACACTTGTTATATAATATTAAGGATGTAAATCACGCAAGACCCATGAACACCAATTTAAATTTAGGTGTCTATTTTAAAAGGACAAAATTGGAGTAACCAAAATTATCAAAATAAAATTAATGCAAAATTAAAATTACAAATGAATCGAGTCGAGTTTGAGTCTGTTCAAACTTGACTCGTTCGTTTATAGACTTAATTTAAACTCAATTTGATTAAAACTTGACTCGTTCGGTTATAGACTTAGCTCGAGGTCAATTCGAGATCATAACTGTTGGGATTTATATGCCCTGGCATAGTAAATTCCTATCTGGATTGTAGTGATATATGTTCCTGACATATCTGAAATATTTATGATTTATATAATTGGTGAATTCAATGTATTATGTTTCGATTCACTATGAAATTGATAGTGTCCATATAATTACAAGAAATATTTATATATATGTATATGATGACAATCAATGCATGATATATAAATAGTAATTATAAATTGTTCATAGTCAGTAATTATGGATGGACTCATAATTAATTAAGACTTGAACTGGATCCGCGTTAGGTTGAGATATATTGCGAGAGCCGTCGTATGCAATTACTCCCTATCACCGTCATGGCATTTGACTCTTAAGCATGAGAAAAGTATAGACTCTTTTATTACTTAATAATTACTTTGATTTGTTCGGCGGATTCTTCGGGATCCTTAGACCGACACTCTGGGTAGTTATGTAATTAATAGTTAGAGGGTTATATTTTCAATATTTGCATCATTGCTACTTGTATTTATTTTGTATTGATTATGGTTGATCACAAAGTAAATTCGAAGGCCTTCGTGTGTTTTTAGACAAAATGATTTATTATATATTTATTTATTTAAATTATTATTTTTGTCAAACAAATGTTTTATTGTGATCGAGTCAGAAATAATCAAAGGTACCAAAATAAATATATTAATTAAGTAGTCGGATTGATGGCTATATTTATCCGATAACTAATTATGCATAGAGGGGTCAAAGTGCAATATTGACTTAGAGGTTATTTATTATTTAATTGGAGTTCAATTAATTTCTTTTAGTGGAGTAGAAATTAATTTATGAATTAATTGAATTGGGTCCATGGACCGGGCCAATTATTAATTCATTGTAGCCAATAAAATAATAGGCCCAATGGATTCTCACTCATAGCCCAACTTGATATTGAAATCATATTAGATTTGAGACACATGAATTAGAGATGGAGAAGGATTTGTTGTTTCCTTTTCTTTATTTTTATGTTGCCTATAAATATACATGGTCTATGTATATTTTAGGGGGTGATTTTTATGAGAAGGAAAAAGGAATAAATTTTCTCTCTCTAGAAAATTAGGGTTTATGGTCTCATCTAATAGAGGCTCCCACAAGCCTAGTTTTCCAAGGTAATTCATGGAGGCTTATGAGTGATTCCTAAAGGCAAAATAATTACCAAGAAGATGGAGATCCAAGGAGAAGGCATCTTGGTAAGGGATCTACAATAAGTGAGAACATTCACTTTAGAGGAAAGTTTTAAGGTTTACTCAGACCTTTGATGTAAGTATTCAATCCATTAATTGAATGATACATCATATTTTTATTTTTGCATAAAACTTGTCTCTATGTGATGAATCAAGATCTATGAATCAAAATCCCTCGAAAAGTTTTTAAAACTTGCACGTTTCCCAACAATAACAACCTTGAAAGGTTAAGTTCGGGCTCAACTCGTTATTATTTTGAAAAGTTAGGATTCGGTTAATTTAATAATAAAATTCATTCGAGTTCGGATTCAATATCATTTTACGTCGTTCATGAACTTATACAAGCTTACATTCATCAGCTTATACAAACCTATGCATATGAACACAATCATGAACCTATACATGTCTATGTTAACAAATATATACGAGTCTAGACAAACTCAAATGCATGAACCTAAATGAGTTGAGCCCAATATTATTTAAATTCGGCTCATTTATTAAATGAGTTTAGAAATTGAACTCGAGTTCGGCTCGTTTGCTTAACGAATAAGTCCAAGTTAAGCCTTAAATGAGTGGAACCCAAACTATTCATAAATAACTCGCTTCATTTACAACCCTACGTGAGAGGAAGATATACATTAATAATAGTGGTGGCGGTGGTTCCTTGTTGACAAGTTAAGCTGTCTTAATAGTGGTTCTTTTTTTCTTATTGGGTTAATCAACTCTTTTTTTATTATTTAACTTCTTATTTTACCATCAAGACTAACTATTTGGTGCATTTTCCAATATTGGAAATCCTTAGTGGGTATGAGGATAAATAAAAAAATTTGTATTGTATTTTCTTATAAATATACAACACTTTTATTTTGAAAATGTAAAATTTTTATAACATGAAAAATGTAATTATTTTGAGCAATACACAAAATTTGCATTATTTAAGGGAGGTGACATAGGCATTCCAACAATCTTTGCTAGCACTTCAACTTTATTTTACCCAAAAAAAAAAAGAAAATGACCTCCATGCCATTTTCTTTGTTTATTTAGATGTTTTTATCTATTTAGTTTTCTTTAAAAAATATATATATTTAGTTTTCTAATTCAATTAAATTTCTGACGCTCATAAATACCTTTGATTGAATTTTTTTTATGCACACAAATACGGGCTTCACAGATAGATGAAGTAATCTCACCAATCTGTAAAATTGCATTATATATAATGAATTAAGCATAAATACAATTATCAAATACCCATTGCATTCTAGCTCCAAGAATAATAGCAATTATTATAAGCATGAGAAAAATGTCGTATGTTAGATTCACTATCAGTGATCATCAATCATTCAATCCATGTGCGTGGCGGTATTGCCTGTGGTAAAGGAACAAGCTTTAAGTGCCCCATCTGCTCCTAGGTTCGAATCCTCTTCCCCCTAACCCCCACTAACTCATAATTCTATAACCATTGCCAGATAAAAAAATAAAAGAAAAAACATTCAATCCATCTTAATAAACGGTATGTAAATTTATAAAGTTATGGTTTACAAATTAGAAGAATTAAATTTGATGATTTGTTTTGACTTGTTATTTTTGCATAAACTAGTTTGTGAAAATATCTCATGAAAGAAGATGTCAGAATGAGAATGAGGAGGACAAGAGATAATGGAGCACAACTCAAGATAAATGGTTTCATGATTGAATTAGAAAATAGGAGGGCAACATAGACATTTCATTTAC